AGAACGACCCGAGTCTGGATAACTCGGTTACCAATTGCCCAAAAATACTACAAACAACCATCCCGTTACGAGATGGTTCCGTTGTCTTTTGTAGCTGTAGATATACATGTAATCTAGTAATGTTTAGATAATCTACGTTCAAAAATACAACGAAACCATCCCGTAACGAGATGGTAGTATTCTCCAATAATTAATATATTACCACATTTGACAAGTCAATGCACATGCACTACCATTATATACCATATAGTATATATACTATGAAAGAAGTTTATATCTCATTTCACTCATTTCCTAAATTAGACCATTGTACACCTGTACTTCCCTAGGCCTTATTGCTCATTTCAGTTTAATAAGTAAACATCAACTCTAATCTATTTTTTTATACTATTAAATAGATATTTGACATATATTTTTTTGTTATAAATAAAAATGCATACTTATACTATGAAACGACATATTTTACTTATATTATTGTTTAGAATATGCCTTTCAGTTAAAAAATATGTATATATGTTGAAAATCAGTAAATTATTGTTATGCTTCTTAATGATTAGACAAATATACTTTCTGAATAAAATTTACATGTTTTTGTACTCAAATGTCAAGCATTAAAAACTATTTAAGTAAAGTATGATGTTTCAAAAATATAAGCGTGTATTTTTAAGAATATACGTCTGTCTAATCATTAGACAATCTAACAAAATAATTTGTGGTTGAAAAAATATGATTGCTTAATTGTAAGTTCTACCAAAAAAACATTATCCTTATTGCAATTAAAAATAAGGAAATATAGTGTTATACAATTTATTTATTTTATGCATGCATATTTTATTAATAAAAAAAAGCACAAAAGTATAACATTACAGAAATATTTATTTTTATTTTTTCACATTGAGAAGCTTAGACAATAATTAGGGTCACCTAACTCCATTAATTTAATTGAGCAATTGAAGCTAAAGCCAAATATCATGGAGGGGTCTATTCCAATTTCCATGTTTATATATTATATACCTACTGTCCTTGCCAATATTTAAATATGTTTAATTGCAAAAATGAAAGACCATTTAATTTATGAAGTGGACATAAGTTTTTAAATTGACCATGTTTTTTTGATTTATGACATTTATAGATTCTACACTTTTACTTAGAGGGCACCTTGGCGAGGTCAATTACATCGAGCCTAGAAAAACTAAGAGCTTCAACCCTCTTCTCCTGTGAGGAAAGACCGACCTCGAGTTCAGCGGCTGCTTAGTAGAGCAATGTTTAATTCTTTTCTTTCTAAGGGCTTCACTGGTAAGGTAAAGAATCCAAAGAGTTTAACTCAGTCATATACCCCCTCTAGCAAAACCTAGGCAGACTAATCGTTAGACGGATCGAATTGCCGTACATTTATATTTCAAAATGTAGGATTTATAGTTATAATATTTTTAAGGGAAATGCTAAGGTTACGCTACCATCCCATCGGGTGTTTTAATCGTTGGATCCACTTGTAGTTAAATAAAATTGATGATTCAACGGTTAAAATACCTGACGGGATGGTATGGGACCGTTTCCCTATTTGTAATACATGATGTTTAAATATTATATATATATATATATATATATATATATTATCAAAAAATATAACACAATGAAAATATGGGTAAATTGCGCCAAATCCCCCTGTATTATACGAAATCTGCGCGTTATCCTCCTGTATTTTAAAAATTGCGTCGTACCCCCTTGTATTATACTAACTGATGCACACGCTCCCTTGTTTCAATTTTTCCGTTAATGGCGTTAATTTTTTCAAAAATTCCCGTTATACCCTTCGAATATAATATATATATACATGATATATTGAATTTCTCGCGATATATTCAATTTATCACGATATATTGAATATATCGCGGGAAATTGGCTAAAAAAATATGCTGAGTGAGGGTTTCGAACCATGTACCTCATCAAAAGAAAAGAAGCATTGCCACCACCCCACCAAGCTAAGACAACTGTGAGATTTAATAATGTTTGATATATATAGGCATAACATCTGTATAAATCAAATTAAAAATTTTAAAGATAATGTAACTTATATTAAATAAATTAATAAACTCTAAACTTATAATAAATTAAAATATAACAAACTAGATTATTTAAAATAAAAAAAAGATTACTAAAATAACTTATATATATTATACTTATAGTTAAAATAATAATATGTACTTAATTTAAGTTCTTCTACTTTTATTTTTTATTATTTTACATTTTACTGTTTAATATTATTTTAATTTAGTTAACAAATTTTATTTATGTGTTAACTTAATAAATGATATAAAATTCAAATAAATTTATTTGAATACTGTATGTCATTAATACTACTTACTAAAAAGTGATAATGCAAAAAAGTGATAATTTATTTCTAATTAAACTACTTACTAAAAAGTGATAATTTATTTCATTTTTTTCATTAATACTGTATGTCAAAGTAAATAATGCAAAAAATTATTTGATAAATAATGTTTTTAATTATATTATATTAATTTAATATTATAACTTATTTTTATTAATTATTTTATAATATTAAATTTTCTTAATTATTTTATTTGTTTTAATTTACCATTTTTTTAGATATTATATTTTTTTTATCTTATATCTAATTTTTTATGATATTTTAACTTGTCTACTCTAATTTTATTTATTTATTAATTTATTATTGTTATTATTATACATTTCCGAATTTATATAATTAACTTTATTTTTATAAACAAAAATTATAAATTTATTTAATTTTAATTCATGCTACTGTAAGTAATTTCATTTTACTTTACTTTAATTTATTTTTCATTATTTTTATTTTTATTTAATTTATTTCAATTTATTATTATTATTTCATATATATTAAATTTACCCATTATATATTTTTTTTTTAATTTGTTTGAAGTATTATAAAAGCATTTGTGTTCAATTCCTACACAAGAATGTATCTAGCCTAGTGGATGAATGTGTGGGCTTTTGTCATAAGGGGGTCATGGGTTCGAATCCTCCCCTTGTCTTTTAATTTTCTCAATAAAATTCAGGTATTAAGGGGCAAAATAGTCATTTCCTTGAGTTTATGGCGAAAAATGGAGAAAAAGTCGCACCACACGCGCGTGAAATGCACTGCTGTCAAGTTAGACGGTTTAGGGGATAACGCGCAATCAAAAGTATAATACAAGGGGTATGGCGCAATTTTTAAAATACAGGGAAATAACGCGCAGATTTCGTATAATACAGAGGAATTTGGCGCAATTTACCCATGAAAATATATATTTTTTTATTTAAATATTATAAGTCAAGTGAACGGGCAACATCCCTTTTTTCCACACGAAAAAAATATGTGGAAAGGTAAAGTAAATTGATCACGAAAATGCTAATAATATATATTTTTTTTTTTTTTTTAATGTGTGAATTATGCGCCCATGTGGTTTGAAATGTCCTTAAAGAAAAAAGCAACGAAAAGAGACAAAGCGATTGGTCCCACGTAACGTTGGGAGGCAATTATTTGACGAGTGGGACCCATTGCATGGCGGCTTTTATATTTTGTACGTGAGCTGGATAAAAAGCGACGTGTCACATTTTTTCTTTTTTTTTTTTACTTTCCATTTTTCAATTTTTGGATATTACTAAACAGTGTTTCATAAGAGGAAATATATTTATTATAAATTAAATGAAAGACTTTGACTTGACAGCGAGTGCAGCTCCGCTTCGAGGGGGCTACGAGTAGAGTGTATCATATTAATGAAGCTTCCGCGTTGACTCGTAAAAGTTTAAGTTCGACTCGTTTGTACACGCGAATCAACAACGATTTAAAGTTTGTTGAAAAACTCAAAGCCTTCACGAAACGATTTAAAGTTTGTTGAAAAACTCAAAGCCTTCACGAAACGAAACGAGAGTCGAGGTTTTTTTGACAAGTTTATTGAAAGAGTCGAGTCTCACCAAACCGAATCATTTATTAAACAAGCACAAATTCGGACATGAGCTACTTGACCCGTCTCGAGTAACATCCTCGATGCTGGTGCGTGCTATCTTTTATTTTATTATTTATAGTTTTTCAGAAGTAAAGTATATTCTAAGGAAATGAAATATGTGTACACTTTTATTTTAATTTATTTTTTCACCTCAAAAGCATAATACAAAACTACAATATGGACGAATTAGTACTATCACATCAAGAAAAATCAACACAAAAAACGTTGGATGATATAAGCACAATAATATGCCATCAAATAAATGTAATTTCAATATTATTGTGGGCCTTAATTTCCATGCATGAATCTATTTTAATTTTTAAATAGTAACAATTATATAATCTTATGTGAAATACTCTTTATATAAATAATATAATATAATACAACTTTTGAGGAACATGAAAAGTTAAATATGAGTTTCTATTATTATTATTATTATCCATATTGTTTTAATTTAATAGGTTCATTGAAAAAAAATGGTTCCAAACTAAATATGCCTAATATAATCACTATGAGCCACTCCATGAGCAACTATTCACAACCCTTAACATATATAATTATTTTATTAAATGTCATATTGTTATTTAAAAAAAATGGTTCCAAACTAAATATTACTTTTTTTTACTACTAAAAATTAATACATAAAAAAGATACAAAATAAATACGTAATTAAAAATACTAAATAAATAAATAAATAAATAAACAGTGTGACCATCAGCTTTTATATGGAGATTCGACGGTCCTGTTATGGAATAATTTCGTCGAGATTTGTAACCGTTAGATCAACTATCTTCGACGATATATAATGATCTAACGATTACAAATCTCGATGGAATAGTTTCATAACGAGACCTTACTATTTCTCTAGATTTTATATAAGCCAAGTTGGTTAAGACTTGAGACACAAAAACATTAGCCTTTCTGCCATATTTCCCGCTGACATCACATTCCCATATTCTCCCTGGTAGCCCAGATATTATTCCCGTTTTCCCCAAAATACCCTCACACCAAATGGAAAATTACACCCAACCCGAAAAATCCCACAAAACCAAGCGCCGAAAAATCCTCATCCTATCCGCCGCCGCGACTCTCCTCGTCGTCGCCGTCGTCGCCGCCGCCTGTGCCTCCTACTCCCACCGCCGAACCTCCTCCGTATCCCGTGCCGCCACTGCCGCCCACGAGGTCATCCGTTCTACCTGCGCCGCCACCCTCTACCCCGACCTCTGCGCCTCCACCATCCAGGCGGCGAGGCCGCCTCCCTCCGCCATCCGCACCTCCCGCGACGTCCTCCTCACCGCCCTCAACTACACCATCATCACGGTGGAGCACAATTACTTCACCGTCCGGCGCGTGGGCGAGAGCCGCCGCGGCTCCCTGACTCCTCGCGAGACCTGCGCCCTCCACGACTGCCTGGAGGTGATCGACGACACCCTGGAGGAGCTCCGGGAGAGCAAGGCCGAGCTGGCCGATTTTGGCTACCGGAACTACTCCCTCCCCCGCCACAAGGAGAACCTCCTCACCCTCCTCAGCGCCGCCCAGACCAACCAGGAGTCCTGCCTCGACGGCTTCTCCCACGACGGCGCCGACGAGAAGGTCCGCCGCGCACTGGTCGCCGGCCAGAAGCACGTTTTCAAACTCGTTTCCAACGTCATGGCCATCATCAGAAATCTCTCCGACACGGAGGCGGCCGCCGCCGCCGCTTCTGGCGGCGGTGTGTCGGCGACCCGGCCAGAGAGGAACCTCGGGGAGTGGCCGGAGTGGCTTTCGGCGGGGGACAGGCGGCTGCTGCAGGCAACGACGGTCAGGGCTGACGTGACGGTTGCGGCGGACGGAAGCGGAGACTACCGGACGGTGGCGGCGGCGGTGGCGGCAGCGCCGTCGGGGAGCAGCCGGAGATACGTGATAAGGATACGGGCAGGAGTGTACCGGGAGAACGTGGAGATACCAAGGAGTAGGAGGAATTTGATGTTCGTCGGGGACGGCCGGACAAACACCATTATCACGGGGAGCCGGAGCGTGAGGGGCGGTAGCACCACCTTTAACTCCGCCACTGTTGGTTAGTCTTTAATTTCTTTATTCATTCACTTTTTTTTTTTGATTAATATAATAAATAATAAGTATGTTTATAAATGGATGTTAAAAGTTAAATAAGTTGGAATAAAGATTTTGAAGTAGGGTTTCAAACAAATCGAGTCATGTCTTGAGTCCAACTTGAGTCTGTAGTTTGTAAGTTCGAATGTTCAATGGGCGGCTCGAATATACATGACACTATCTAAATAGCTCTAAATAATTTATGTTAAAATTTTAGGTCTACTTCACCCGAATTTCAAGCCAATATCGAGTATTTATTTTCTTTGTCAACAAATCTGAGGTCATTGAACTCGATTCCAAACCCCAATAATAGAATTTGAGCTAAGCTTGATAAAAATAATGCCCGACTCAATTCAGCTCGTTCGCTGTCCTACTTCGAAGGGCTTGATAGGCGACATTAGAGTCGTGTTTTTATTTGTATGATGTGAAACATTTGGAATAAACTATGTGTGGAGCATCGTCTCATAACATTATCTTCAGATTCAATTATTAGCTGATCTTTATACTGTTCATAAGAAATGTCATTATTTAAAAATTTTAATATATATATATATATATAAATTTATTTAACGAGTATACTAGTCTACCTATCCCACATTAGTTACACTAATAATTTTCTTAAAAAATATTTATTTTATGTTCACCCAATCAACACATGGACATACCTACTCCCATATGAATGATAATTTTTTTATTTTTGTTTTTTCAAAACACATATTATGTAGATATTATAATTTGCCACATGTCATGATCAAAACAATTTTTGTTCTAATTTTGAGTTTCAGTTATATTTTAATTATATAGTGACATCATTATGAACACATATTTATAATATATAATTTTAAACAAGAAATCATGCCCATGTCATCAATAAATAGAAGGATCTTGACGGGAGATGTTACGGTTCCGTTACGAAATCATTCTGTCGGGATTTGTAACTGTTAGACAACTATCCCCGACCAATACATGATGATTTAGTGGTTACAAACTCTGAGGAACGATTTCGTAACGAGACTGTTGCATTTTCCCTTTACATGACTAAGTCGTTGGTATAGTTGTCCGGTCAATCTTGGCCTTGAGGGGGAGTAGTTTGTTATTTCGCCTCTCTACAGCTCTTGTAAAATTCGCAATCATACATGTCAATTATTATTATTTCAAAGTAGTTCGGTTTTACATAGATTTCGATTTTTATCTATGTCTATTAAAACTATTAAAATTTTATATATATATTATCAGTTTTTATGAGCACATGTCAAAACATAATTTGTGTTCTATTGTTGTGTGTAGCCGTGATCGGGACCGGGTTCTTGGCCCGGGACATCGCGTTCCAGAACGCGGCCGGAGCCTCCAACCACCAGGCAGTGGCCCTACGCGTGAACGCGGACCTCTCTGCCTTCTACCGGTGCGACATCTTGGCGTACCAGGACACACTGTACGTCCACTCCCTCCGCCAGTTCTACTCCGGTTGCCTCATCGCCGGCACAGTCGACTTCATCTTCGGCAACGCGGCCGTCGTTTTCCAGGACTGCGACATCCACGCCCGCCGCCCAAACTCCGGCCAACGCAACATGGTCACGGCCCAGGGCCGGGACGACCCCAACCAGAACACCGGAATTGTCATCCAGCGGTGCCGGATCGGGGCCACCTCCGACCTTCGATCGGTCCAGTCGAGCTTCCCGACCTACCTGGGCCGGCCGTGGCAGGAGTACTCGAGGACCGTGGTGATGCAGAGCGAGATAAGCAACGTGATTCATCCGGCCGGGTGGTTCGAGTGGAACGGGAATTTCGCGCTCAACACGTTGTTCTACGCGGAGTATGCCAACACGGGGGCCGGGGCCGGGACGGCTAATAGGGTGACGTGGAGGGGTTTTAGAGTTTTGAGGAGTGCCTCGGAGGCCGAGCAGTTCACGGCCGGGAGGTTCATCGGCGGCGGGAGCTGGCTGCCGGCGACGGGCTTTCCGCACAGGCTCGGGCTTTGATTGATTCTCTCCTTTTATATTTTTCTGAAATTGTGGTCGGTTTGTTTACGGTTAATTTCCACGTCGATGAACGAATAAACGGCGCGCTTTTGCGTGTTCTTCTCGGAGCATAACAAGAGTTTGTGAAGTTAGGGAGTGTTTGAGAGAGCTGGCTGCAATCTTGCTTGAATGAAATTTGTCTATATAATGAATGGTGAAAGGTTTCGAGTTATTGTATTAATAAAAGCACTTTGATTTTGTATGAGCAGTTCCTATAAGGTGGCTACAGAGTCTGGGAGTGTTCAGAAGTTATGAGTTTGTTTTATGTATCCTTTTACTTCAATGGCTAATGGTTAAGGAGGATTATGAACTAATCATATTCTATCAAGAATAACAAACACAAGCTAACAACTGTGCATTAACCAACTATTAGGTGGTTGTGTTGTATAGGTAGGGTTCTGTGAGTGTCATGTGAACCGAGCACTCCCGAGTAGGGGTCCGTCCGTCGGACGGAACCGAATGAATTGTAAAAATCGAACTAATTGATTTATTTGTTTTCAAAAATCAAAACGACCGAAATATGTGTTTAAAATCGAAATTTAATCGAACCAGATTATTCGGTCGGTTTTGTCGATTAACCTAACTTTCGCAAACCGCCTCGATCTCCTCTCACATTTAGATTGAGTTGGACCTTGCCGATGTCATCACACTTTTGACCTATGGCCATCAGAGCGCGTGACAAATTCATCATCCACTCATGCGTATTAGATCCACTCTTCGGTCGATTCTCTATTAGATCTCGTACATATCTTCCGCGAGGGGAACCAACCTGTTGACTTTCTTGCCTGTATCGGGACCTCCACCCACTAGAGGCGCATCATTCATCCTGACGATGTTCCTCTCCATTTATTATACGTACCCTTATACGGATGGACCAGCTGGGATACCCGTCGTTCAGATTGGGTAGTCGATCCTACATTTTAGTGCTTCTGCCCTCTCATGATGCTGACTCGTCACCTGGATTTTACTGAACCAATATCGAATCTTGTGGTGTTTTTTCCAGTATTGTCTCTTTTTTCTTGGTTCATGTTTGATCTCGTTTTATTATGTATCTTGGTCATTAGATTTGTAGACTTGTGACTATTTATCATGTTTTTGGGTTTTTATATACAGGTTGGGGTCCGGCCTTAACCTCTATTCTTCAGGGGTGTTGTTTAAAAAAAATAAAAATAAATAAACAAACTTTTGCGGACACAATTTGTTTTAGATTTGTTTACTGGGGCCAAACATATGGTTCTTTTTATTGAACTTAAACATATGGGCCTTTTCATTTGGGGGAAGGGAGACGGGTTTCCCGTTTCTCACTCGTTCGTCAATTCAGAGTTGGCCCATTCCTTTTCATAAAAGCTAAACCTACTTCTGATCTATTTGCAAGATGCTCGTAAAGGTGCTTTCTATGAACAAGTGCCTTCGTGCCTGATGGTTGTGGAAGGTGAAAGAAGACAAGTCAAATTTCTCAGATTTGAGTAGTCGGCACTCGACCCTACCTTTTGGTGCTTCTGCTCCCTCGTGATGCTGACTCTTCACATGGACTCCTTTCAGACCAGGATCAGATTTTTTAGTGTTATGCAGTTGTCTCTTTCTTTTTCTTGTTTCTTTTTATTCTTGTTTATTTGGGCTGTTGTTTTTTGGACATTGGACTGTAGATTTGTGACTTTGCAGCCTATTTAGGGCTTTTTTTTTTATATATACAGGTTGGGTTTCGGCCTAAATCCCCTATCCTCCCGAGGTGTTGTTGTTAAAAAAAAAAAAAACAATCTCACGCGCCGTTGGGGGCGAATGTGAAGTTTTTTTTTTTTTTTTTTAATTTTATGCTTAGGGTTATTGTAGTAAATTATTATATTACAATATATAATAATATAATATATGTGTATATATATATGTCGGTCGTTTCAGTTATTTTGGACATTTGATGTCCGAAAACCGACACTGATAATTGTCTGAAATAACTGAAGCACCCAAAATTACTGAACAATAATAGAATGAAAACTGAAAATCGACCGAGTCGGACAAAAACCAAACCAAACTTTTTGGTTCAATCGGTTTGCTGAGTTTTAGTCGAATTATGCACATCCCTGCTCACGAGTGAAAAGAGAGGCATTGCTGCTGAAGTTTCGCATGGCTGTTCACATTGCGCCGTGGCTTCTGACGAGGCAACAGTGGAGGAGAGAAGCTCAGGCCTCGTGCCGCGAGATCTAACACGCCACGAGGCTTCACATGGCCGTAGCGCCGCGACTAGCACCACGAGTTAACAGAGGCCATGGCTTGGCTTCTCATCGTGCCACGACGGCCTCCGCTTCGCGACGCCTGGGATGCACCTGTACAATTTGGTCGACGGTTATGACCAGTTTCATTTAATGTAGTCGTTTCCTTTTTCATTTTCAAAATTCAAAACATGCTGGTAGTTTAGCGTGTTGATTAAAGATGCCATATTTCGTCTTTGATAATTTCTCATCTTGAATATTATGCACTATGAAGTAGAAAAGGTTTGTTTCCGAGCACAAATTTATCGTGTCGACCGACGGCCGTTAGAGTGAGTTTACACATTTTTACGTAACTGATATACAATCTTCATTACGTTACAACTTACAAGTGAGTGAGCCATACGTCCGGTAGCGAGGAGATGTGTAAAGAATATTTATAATGTGATTATTAATGCATGGGTCTTTATTTAGACAAATAATTAATGTATTTTGACATATAAATTTTTTTTTACAATTAAGGTATTGTAATTATTTTGTTGATATAATAATAATATATAATTTTGAAACATTGTCAATATTGTGCACCAATTCTTCCATGTTCTGATAATTTGGAAATATTGTCTTTGGGCCAATGGGCCTCTATTTTGTTTAGCACAAAACAAGATACTTTGAATAGAGAATAGAATCGGACCAGCATTGCACTTTCCTTTATCATCATTTATGGTTGAGGATAATGTTCCTGTACGCACGGTGGACATATGTTAATATATCCAACCTTTATGCTCCATTACCCACAAATAAATTACCAATGAGTGAATGCCACATAAACGGTGGACATATTAACATGTGTCTACCATGAGTAGGTGAACATTGCTGATTATTGTACAATAAAGATTCCAGCAATGAAAACGTGTACTTATATTTCTCCCACACAGTAGATATTTACTCTATAAATCTACCCCAACCCTCTCTTTTATAATTTTGGACCAGACAATATAAAGAAGTTAGCGCAACACATTTCGTTTTCACTTTTCAGGCCACAAAAATAAAAATAAAGTCTATATAATAAACCTTCTTATATTTCTATGCCGACATTCATCATTTCCACTACCACAAAAGCAATGCACAGCATTTTCTGCAAACTCTTCCTTCTCCTTGCCTTCCTGGCGGCACCGCCCATGGCTGCGGCCAACCACGGCGGCTTAGCCGTGGGACAAATAATCCGGTCCACCTGTGCCGCCACACTGTACCCCGAACTCTGCATTTCCACCGTCGAGCTCAACCTCCCCACGGCCGCCATCGAGAGCAGCCGGGACGTGCTGGCGGCCGCCCTCGACCGCACGATCCGCGCCGTCGAGCACAACCGCGTCACCATCCGAAAATCCGCCCGCCTCGGCAAGCCCGCGGGCCTCCAGTACGGGGCCCTCGACGACTGCCTTGAGATGGCGGGTTACGCGCTGGACCAGCTCCGGGCCGCAGCCGACCACCTCGAGGACCGCGCAGAATCGAGAGTCGACGACTTACTGACGTACCTCAGCGCGGCGATGGCGAACCAGCTGTCGTGCATTGACGGGCTCCCACCGCGTGCGGCCCTGGTGCACGAACACATGCACGTCTTCCGCCTCGTCAGCAATCTACTAGCCATGGTGAGAAGCCTTCCTGGCCGTGCAGTCTCTGGCTGGGGGCCGGGTCGGGACGGATGGCCCGACTGGCTGTCGGAGGGTGACAGACGGATGTTGGAGGCGTTGGAGGTGACGCCTAACGTGACGGTTGCGGCCGACGGGAGCGGGGACTATGTGACTATTCAGGAGGCAGTGGAGCGGGCCCCACGTAACAGCGACGAGAGGTACGTTGTTCGGATAAAGAGGGGAGTGTATCAGGAGAACGTGACCATCCCGAAGTATTGGAAGAACATGATGTTTGTCGGGGACGGGGAGGGGAAGACGGTTATCACGGGCGACCGGAGTGTCGGGACCGGCTGCACCACTTTCCGGTCGGCCACAGTTGGTAAATTTCTGCAACGTGCAGTACTATACGCGTTTTTGGGTTTTGTAATTTATTACATTTTTTAGTAAAAGTTGAAAATTGAACTTAGTGAGCGTTACTCATAATTCGCAACCTCATGTCTTGTCATAGTCTTGACCATATACACGTGTCAATTTTTGCGGTTGATAGTATGACCAAGATGTATGCTGAGATTGCAAATTAGGAAAATTTTTAAGTGCCGTTGTGTATTTTAGCGGAACCAATGAACATTTGCCACATCATTTTAGTTTGGTAGGCTTTTACCACATCTAAAGTCCTCTATCAATTTTACAAAATCTAATGACTGAGATTAAGTTAACGGAATGGTGTCTGCACGACACCGTAGCCAACCCCTGCAAATTATGAATGTTTATGAACATTCATGTTCAATTTTACCATGAAAAACACTCTATATTGCAAAGTTGAAAAACACGTACGTACAGTTGCAGCCAATGTTAAACACTTAAATTAACTAGAATATCGACCGACCGAGATGGTCATTTCTAATCGATCAATTTCCTCCGCAATGCAGCCGTGAATGGCGAAGGTTTTCTAGCCCGGGACATCACATTCGAGAACACGGCGGGCCCGTCCAACCACCAGGCCGTGGCCCTCCGCGTGAGTGCCGACTTCGTCGCCGTCTACCGATGCACCATGTCGGCCTACCAAGACACCCTCTACACCCACTCCCTTCGCCAGTTCTACTCCGCGTGCACGATCTCCGGTACCGTAGACTTCATCTTCGGTCGGGGTGCCGCAGTCCTGCAGGACTGCGACATCTGGGCCCGCCTACCCAACCTAGGCCAGCGCAACATGGTCACTGCCGACGGGCGGAACGATCCGGGCCAAAACACCGGGATTGTCATCCAAGGGTGTCGGATCCGTGCCGACGACGACCTGCAGCCCGTGCAGGCCCAATTCCCAACGTACTTGGGCCGGCCGTGGGGACAGTACGCGAGGACGGTGGTCATGCAGACCGAGATATCAGATGTCGTGCGGCCTGAGGGGTGGTATAGGTGGAACAACAGCAATTACGGGCTCCACACTTGCTTTTACGCCGAGTATGAAAATACGGGCGACGGTGCCGACACGTCCCATAGGGTTACGTGGCGGGGTTTTAGGGTGCTGGCAGGGGATGAGGAGGCAGAGCCGTTCACGGCAGCAAAATTTATTTCCGGCGAGGAGTGGCTGCCGGATACGGGCTTTCCGTTTGCACTCGGGCTTTGACTGGGCCCGAACTCCAGATGAGTGTGTTCGGTGTATCTTAAATTACTATTGGGCTTCTTGGGAAGTTTGGTGCTGTTAGAAAGCCTGATTTATCTTGTGTAATGAATAAATATTGAAATAAAAGGCTTTTGTGGCCCAGTTTTTCAGTTTTCATGAAGATTAATGCTTGATTGGATATTTATATTACAGTGGCGCGGTTTTCTAGCCATTTTTTAAGTAAAAAATGAAATATGGCCACTTTTTGTAAAATAATGAACAGTGGCGCGGTTTTCTAGCCATTTTTTAAAGTAAAAAATGAAATATGGCCACTTTTTGTAAAATAATGAAATCTAGCCATTTTAGCACTTAAAAGTACAATTATACCCTTACTTATTATTTACCTATCAAAAATATTAAAAAAAAAAGAAATATGAAAAAGTTCAAAAAAGCACGCAGCCCCTTTTCTCCTCCTCTCTTCTTTCTCTCTTCCTTCTCTCCTCTTCTTTCTGCTCGCGTCGCGTCCCCTGTAAAAAAAAAAAAAAAAATATTCTCATCTTCCCAAAATTCATGTAAGTGAATCATCTGGAAAAAATCATCTCCAACACATCAAGTGAATCCCTTTTTGAGAAGAAAAAAGGTACATTGACCTAAACCTATTTTTTTTTATTATGTTAAATACAAAAAATCGAAATAGATTTTTATATTTTTGTTCCCAACATTATTGATTTATGTTGCACCATTTTATTTTGTTGAAATAATATTTATTTATAGTTAAAAATTCGATTTTTTGTGCTTGAAAAGGAGGGGTCGTGTGTTAGAGTTTATTACTTTTGTTGTAAATTTTCTTGAGCCGTTTATTTGGAGTTTTAGGAGTTGAAGAATCGTTTATTGAAGAATAAACAATTTATTGAACAAAAAATGGTTTATTGAACAAGAAAGGA